TTCCTGCTCCCCGTTTTTAAGATGGCTTTGCCTCTCCACTCTTTTGCTCAGAACCTTCCTTTCCAATTTAAGGTGTAGCTCATGACCATCTATGCTCAAGTCTTTTAAAGCCCTTATTCTCTGCTGTTATTGTTTTGATGGATAACCTGTCACAAGAGATTAGAGAGACTGTTGTGCTATTGCTTTATGTTGCTGTCATACCCCCCTGCAATCTACTGTAAGCTACTTGAGGCCAATGATGCTGTCCTATTCTTCCTCGAACCCTCAGGCCCTAGAATGGGCTCAGCAAGAGTACCCAGTACGTGTTCCTGATGATGCTGACCCCTGACTTTTGGAACACTCTGAGGTCCTGTTGCGGCCAATAGCTTCCATCACCAAGTAGAGTTTGAGGAAAGTTAATCTTCTCTAGGCACATCTCTTGATTGACTTTCCGGTCTTAAACCTTCTTCACTAGCTCCCCATTTCCCACTGAACTCTTCTCAGCCCTGAAGGCCATCAGTCTTCCCTCCCCATACTTCACCTGTAGATACCTCAGCTCTCATCAGACTAAACTCTTCACTGGCCCAGAATCAAGCTCCACCAGGATCTGATTTTTAATCTTGACTTATGCTGATCCTTTGTCCAAAGATGTTCTCACACTTCCCTCCCAGTGGTCCAGAACCAAAGATGTCTTTTAAATCTAAGAAACCTGCCCAGTCCCTTATGGTCCCAGCCCTTGCAGATCTCTCTGTAGCTAAACAATATTTCTGGTGTATCTTTCAGCAGGCAGTTATTCCTGGATCTGTTGTGTTTGCTCTTCTGTGTATCTTCACCTCCCCAGCTAGATTGCAGATCGTTCAAGGGTCACTATCTCAAAGGGCGCATGGTGCATAACTGGATGCACAGGGCTCATGATTGTGTATGAGAAGATTGACAGAGGATAAATCTATTTTTGTGATTCTTATCAGCCAACTGCATTCCTCACCCCCAAATTTTAGTGTGTAAGAGACGCTGAGAAAGAAGCTTTATTTCTGAAATGACAACCCAGGCCTTCAATGAAATTTTTAGTGTCTCTTGGTCAATCTTGCTGCTGATACTGAGTCACTACTCATTTGTGGTGTTTCTAAGCCTCAACTTTATGATTCACATTCTAAAAATGGGGTGAGGTTTTTAAAGAGAAACCAATTCCAGTGTGAACTTAGCCTCACAATTATTGGGTTCCTCTGTGGTTGCCAGCTGCTGGCACAGCACTCCTCAGGGTCTGGTGTCTCATGACTTATTGGATGAGGTGGCTGTTTTGTTGCAAATAGCTAGACTCCATTTCATGGGGTTGTGCTATGGGGTTCTCTCTAATAAATTTGTTCCACCAAGCTTTCTTGAGAGTACTCATTATCTGTAACCAGCGCATGTCTGGATCTGGGTTGGACAAGCTAAAGAGAGTAGGTAATTCTTTGGGGCTCTTCTTTTCATACTTTCTGATTAGTAGTCTTGGTTCCTTAGCCAGAACGCTCCTGTATTTGTAAAAAGGAGGTTGAGTACTGGAGTCTATTTAGCATCTAGGAGAACTGCTCTAAAAACAACTGAAAGGGGAAATCACTAAAACCAGAGTGTGCACACGACATAAGTGGGGTGGTTTCATGAAATTTATATTCTGGTCCCAAGACTTCCCCTAACAACAACATTGATGGCTGTGGCTGACATTTATAAAGAACTTGGAATGGGGCCTGGCACATTGTAAGCTCTCTGTGAGGTCACCTGCTATCATCATTGTCATTGCTACAGAAGGTTTGTTACTCTCAATACTAAACACTTGGTGTGTGTCACCGTACTTAAAATCGTGAAGTTAGTTTTGTTCATCTTGCTGAACATGGATGAACCGAGGCATAATGACTGTACAGGTCTCGAATCTGGACAGCCTAGCTCCTGGGCCTGTGCTCTCAATCTCTGTTGCTATACCTGATTTCCTTGGGCCTCAGTTTTCCATCTGTAAAACCAGAGATCTGGGTTATTGGTCTTTAAATCCTCCGAGCTCTAAAATGTCTAAGTATTTTCCCCATTACCATCACCCTTTTCCTTCTCTTCTTCCCCAGACTCCTCCCCGACCCACAGTCATCCTGTTAACTTCACTGGATTTGTTACCAAGGGATCTATAGGATGTGTTTCCCATTGGGATACGATGCTATATGTGTCAGCACATGGACATGGATTGTGGCTTTTTTGTTGTTGTTGGCCCTGTTCTACATGCTTCTGTTGTTGGGAGGGGAGGCATCTGATTCTTCGATTTTACTGTCTTGTCTTGGCCTGCAGCCATTACCTCACTGAGTGATGTGAGCATTTGACTGGGCTTGAGAAAGTCTTGATGAGAGAAATCCATGGAATCAGCTCTTTCGGTCTGGGCTCTGTGTGATTCTCTGGTAGATCTGGTTTTGGAGCACTGCAGTCCTCGGGCTGTTTGCACATGTCTGGTCCGTGGCTGGTAAGGATCTTAGGAGGAGGGGGACTTGAAAGAGAGATATCTGGGCTTTGCATTCTCTACAGCATGGGTACCCTGGAAGATTTCCACATAGGGAGTTACCCAAATCATTTCATTATGGTTCCATTGTAATTAATGTTTATAAATTACTTCAGTGGGTGAGAGTCTATGTATATTCTCTAGTACTTTTTTTTTGTAGCTGTGACCCAAAGAATAGAGTGTTTTGACATCAGAAGACCTGGGTTCAAAGGTTGCATCTGTCACTTCCTAGCTTGGTGCATCTAACACACCTGCTTGTTATGGCCTCTGCTTGATCATTTCTGGATGGCATCTTATTATGGAAAAAAAAAGTTCATTTGTCCTGGGATGTGTGAATCCTTCCACTTAAAAGCCTGGAGGAAACACCTTAGGAACTTAGGGCACCAAACAGGGACCTGGAAATAACAAAAGTATTGGATAAGTCACAAGTTATGGAAGCCTAGATTTGTTCACCTGTAAAAGAATGATATCAATACCTGTCTTACCCAGCTAAAATGGCTATCGAATCAAATGAAGTATGGTATGAAAATATGTTTCTGAAAATTATAAATTCTATGCAAATATTAGTTGTTTTTAGGAAGTATCATACAACAAGACTAATTGTTTTAATTACCTCCCCCCCCCAAAAAAAGCTGTTAATGTTTCTATTCTGGTTTTCTCCAGCATAGATTATTTATTGCAGATAATAACCTATAGTAAAATTCCCTCAACATTTTCTTTTTATTGTGCGCCAGCTAGAAGGCTATTAGTTAAATTGTTCTAGGCTAAAATGAATATCGTGAGTATTCAGTTAATAAGAACTAATATTGTGCAAGGTGGACAGTAGTTCTTTTGCAGAAACATTAATTTTGCATTAATTCAGATTTTATTAATTCATTATAAGAACAAGAGCTAGGTTCACGTTGTAAAAGTACATTAATCATACAGACAACGTAAGTCTATTAAGTAACCTCTGTACACATAGAACATAACTGCAATGTGAGTGAAGGCTAGACTTTTAAGTACTAATTCAATTTGGTCTAGAGTAAAAAATGTGTTTAAATCACATTTTTCACTAAAGCAAATATGCCCTACCCACTTACTCCAGATCAACAGGATGGCTCCATTTCTGTTTTTCTTGATTGGTAAAACCATGCTTGGAGATACCATCTGGAGATTGTTGGGTTTCTGCCAAAGATTTAAATCAGGCTTGCAAAGAGCTACCTGCCTAAAGCAAGAAACTGCACTGACTTAATAGGAAAGAACATGCTTTTATTTCACCATTTGGTAAAAGAAAGTGAAAGTACTTTGAAAAATTTTAATACTTGTTTTACGATGCTGACCTTATATATAGATAAAAGTGTTTCCAAAATAGAATAATTGGGGAAATTTGGGAATCTAATTGCTAAATTTTATGTGATTATTTACGAATTTGATATGAAGGCATGTGCAAGGATCTTGATGCTAAAGGCAGGTAATTCTATATGAGAAGTGGGGGCAAGACAGGGGCACAGAAAAGTGAGGCAAGTGGAAACCACCCAGACTGCCTCGTGGGCAGTGTTGAAAACCCCAGACCTGTGTGGACTGGCTATATTGTGATGGTTATCTTTTTTTAATTATTATTTTTTGAAACAGATTTCTGCTTGACAGATTAACCAAAAGCAAGAGAGGCTGATCTGTCTACGTTCTGAGTGCTGCCTTCTGCAAGACCAGCATTATAGACCCTAGACCCAAGTCTGCCACACTGCCATAGTGTTACCCACCCCAGGCATTACTCTGGGGTCTGCCTGAGGCCAGCAGTGCGAAGATGACCAGTGCCTTGCTAGCATGACGACCTTGGACCATGTGATCGCTACCCACCAGTCAGAGTGGGTCTCCTTCAATGAGGAGCCACTCTTCCCCGTCCCTCCTGAGGGTAAGGACTGCTTTCATTTCCTAGGTGAAAAAGAGTGGCAAAGAACCACGCCTGCTTGTTATGGCTTCTACTTGATCATTCTGTTGGTGGGATCTTAATATGGAAAGAGAACCCGTTTGTTACTTTCCTGAGATGCAGATTCTTCTACTTGGAAGCCTGGGAGAAGCATCTTTGGAACTCTAGGGCCCCAAATGAGGGCCTGGAGACACCAAAAGTATTGGCTGCATTCTTAAAAGGAACATAAACTTCATATTTACAAAGTACTTTATACTTGGTCTTTTTGGTGGTTACTTTCAATGGCAATTTGGATTTTCTCAATTTTTAAAGCATAGTTGTTAGGAGTGACTCACTCTATATAGCCAGATTGCTTGGAGTCAAATCCTGGCTCCACGGGCGAGTGATGTGCCCTTGGGGAGATTATTTCTTTTAACATCTCCATGTAGTAGTTTATCTGTGCAGTCTGGGTAATCACAGTACCTACTTCACAGTGGTTGTGAGGATTAAATTAATTAATATATGTGAAGTCCCTAGAATAGTGTCTAGTACATGGAAAGAGCTCAGTAATGGTCATCCACAATCATGATGTAGATGGCTAAAGTGACTTCTAGGGAGCTGGTGCTCAAAGAGGAAGGTCAAGGTAAGATACAGGAGTTATTGGCAGAGCCATGTCAGCTGGTTCTGTTTTACTGCAGCTGCCACTTTCAGCTGAAATCAACCCAGCTTCATTTACATTGTAAAGTGTGAGTTCACAGGAGTGCTGTCCAGTACGGCAGCCAGGTGGCTACTGGCAGGCAGTGTCCTTAAAATGTGGCTGCTCTGAATTGTGATGTACTAAAGTGTAAAATACCTACACTGAATTCCAAAGATGGAGTAAAAGTTAAATATTACATTAACAATTTTTATATCAATTACAGGTTTGAAGTATGAATTTTCAACATACTGGGTTGAAATTTATATTATTAAAAGTAGTTTTGTTAGTACCTTTTTATTTTTTTAATGTGGCTTCTAGAAAATTTTTAATTCCTTATGTGGCTTGCTTTTTATTTCTTTTAGACAATACTAATCTAAAAGCTTTGATTACATGCAGATGGACTAGTTTGGCTAGTGATGGGAGAAAGGAGTTTTATATTAGTACTTTGATTTTTCAAAAGCTTTTATACAGTAAAATTTACCACTTTTGATGTACAGTTGATGAACTTTAACACATACCTAGATTTATGTACCTATCACTATATATCACAATCAGGATATAGTTCTTTTAAAAAAAATTATGTGAAGGCTGTTAAATATTCCAGGAACAATAAAATGATACAAAGCCAGGGGAAGAGCCTCTGTGCCACATTCAGCCGATCATTGGTGCAGAGTTTGCACCCGGTAGGCTGCAGACATGTGTAATTAGGACTGCACAGATTTTGAAGTTTGAATTTAGATGTCTTTAGTCCAGAGAGAAGCTGTCCATTTCAGCCATACTCTCCACCAGTCCCTACTGCCTTTGCTTTTCTCATTTGACTCAGCTGTATTTCTTGATTGGCTTCTGTAGCCCTTTTTGTTTGTGACCCCTAAGCAATGGAGTAGATGCTGGGATAAGAAGAGTGAACCAGTCTTGGTCCCCCACTTATACTCCATGGACAGACTGAGGTTATAGTTTTTATACATTACTAGGAAAACACTCCTTTGCGTAGAGGCAGATGGGCATGGCTGTTTCTTTGCCCTCACCCACTGTAATGGTGAGTCCTATGATCTCCTCTTACCCATCCTTTGTTTTTCCTCCCTAAGACAGTTCTGAAGAGTGGCCTTCCCCGTGTGATGTGATGGTGCTGTCTGGTATCTGTTTCAGGGGGCACCGAAGGGCACCTCGCAGGACTGTCGTCCTCCTCGGGCCAGTCCGAGAGCTCCTCAGGGGAGAACCAAGTGGTGGATGGAGGCTCTCAGGACCTTTCCCACTCGGAGCAGGATGACTCCTCTGAGAAGATGGGCCTCATCTCCGAAGCAGCCTCCCCTCCTGGGAGCCCCGAGCAGCCCCCAGCTGACCTGGCCTCCGCCATCAGCAACTGGGTTCAATTTGAAGATGACGCACCCTGGGCCAGTGTGTCACCACCTCACAAAGAAACAGGTGGGCGGTTGAAAGGGTTCTGGCGTAGGTCTGTGCTCGTCAGGGATGCTCTTCCATGGGAGGTGTGGGGCTGTCGGGATTCCACTTCACCTGCTCCCGAGCCCCAAAGCACTGGCCACCTAGAACAGCGGGCAGAGAGCTCGTCTGGCTTCATTCTGCAGATGGTTTCTGTTAACATAAGCATAGGGAAGGGTTTATGTGTTCTGGATAACTTCCAGCCTCTCTTCCCTGGCTGTTGACCTATCTTTGCAAATATGCATATTTATCTATCTCTAAGGGATTAGAATTATATTTACTTAGCACCTAAATTGTAAGCTCCTTACAAGAAGAAATGAATGTCTCTCAAAGCGTGGACCACCAACCATCTCTAGTAGAGTAACCAGTTAAATAAACATGGATGTGCTTACGTCCCAGGCCTCTTGGATCCAAATCTTCAGGGTAGGCACTGTCGTTAATGGTAAGTTCCTTGTTTTGTGGGATTTCCACAGCCAGAAGCTGCACTGGGGAGCTTAGTGAAGCCAGAGCAGTTGGCTAAGCCTCTCCCTGCTAACCAGGCTGCTTATTTTCTTGTGCATGGAAGCAAAGGAAGGGTGATTGGATAACCTTTGGGACTGTATTAGTTTTCTATTTTCTGTTGTAACAAATTACCACAAATGTAGTGGCTTAAACAGTACAATTTTATCATCTTACAAGTCTGTTCAGAAGACTGACATGGATGTCTTTTGGCTAAAATCAAGGTGTTATCAGTATTTCATACCTTTCAGGAGGCTTCAGGGGGGAATCTGTTTCCCTGCACTTTCCAGCAGCTTCTAGAGGTCACCCACACTCCTTGACACGTGGCCCCATCCTCTGTCTCAAAGCCAGCAATGTCACATCTCTCTGTGCCTTTGTTCTGTAGTCACAGCTTCTGCTGACTGACTTCTGCCTCCCTCTTCCGTTTTTAAGGACCTTTGTGATTACCTTGGGCCCTCCTGAATACTCCAGAATAATTTCCCCATCTCAGAGTCCTTAACTTAAACACAACTGCAAAGTCCCTTTTTGTCACATAAAGTGACATATTCATAAGGAATGGGGATCAGGATGTGGACATCTTTTAAGGGCCATTATTTTGTTCGCCACAGAAAACTAATAGCAAAAAGCAAGGTTGATATGTTTTTCTGTTGATGGGTTAAATGTTTTGCTAGTTTTAGTTTTTAAACGCAATTACTTTGTTTTTCAAACATGTTTTCAACATCAGTAAAAAACAATTTTAGGAAAATATAAAGCATAATTTTACTATATAATAAACACTTCCATTTTTACATAATTTTCATATTCATGTATACTTTTTCATATTTATCATATTTCTCAATGAATTGTTGGTGAGAGAGCCACGACACTCAAAGCAGCATGGATGAACTGACAGGTCCAGGCACGCTTCCCAGGTGGGCTGGAGGGAGCAAGTAACCTTTACTGGACACTTAATACTGGCAAGATAGTGTGCTGATTAAGCATTTATACATGTGGCAAAAAGTTACTGAACACTGGGCATTGAATCAGTACAGAAATATGTCTCTTATTTTTAAAAAGGTATTTACTGAATGCATACTCTCTTAGGCACTGTGCTCAATGGGTTAACTACATCGTCTCTGGTACCCCTTACAGCACTCATATGAAGAAGGTATTAATATTATATTTATGTTACAGATGAGGAAGATAATACATTGGTGATTTAGGAATTTGCCCAAGGTTGTGTGCTAGGAAGTGGCAGGAGAGAGCTTCAACACTAGGCAGTGAGACCCCAGGATACTGGAACAACCTAGCGATGTTCGGTGTTGTGTGTACCTCCATGTTCCCACTGTGGCTCTCTTTTCCTCTGCTCCTTCATTCCTGGGTGGCAGAGGAAGTGAGTGAGGCCTGGGGTGGTGTTTCTCTACTCATTTGTCCTAAAATGGTCCGGCCTTCAGATCATTGGTTATATTCGTGGCATTTAGATTCTTTCACATCTTGTTCACACCTTACCTTTAGCCTCAAAGATTGCTCAGAACTATTTATATGATAGATGGGTCAATTTGCTTCAACTCTTTACCACTTATTTTTGCAAAACTAACTGGGGTTAGTCATAATTATGTCGCCCCCATCTGACTGAGGATCTTAGCATGTTATTGATAATGGTTTTGACTTAATATTAAAAGCTTATCCTGGAAGGAAACACTTCTCAAATTATGGTCTATAGATCTCTGGGATGTCCCAAGACTCGTTCAAGGAGTCTGTGGGGTCAGAATGATTTTCATAATAATTCTAAGATGTTATTTGCCATTTTCACTGCATTGACATTTGTACTGATTGTGCAAAACTAATGGCAAGTAAAAATTCTGGCCATTGTGTACTTATATTAAAAAAAGTCAATTTCACTTAATATCCTTGATGAAGAAGTAAAAATTATTAAATTTATTAAGTCTTGACCCTTAAGAATATCTCTTAAATATTCTCTGTGACAAATAGGGAAATATGCATAAACTACTTTTGCTCCATATCGAAGTATAATGGTTGACTTGAAGAAAAATAGTTATGTAGAAAAAATTGGGTTTAAAATTATTTAATTAAAAAATCAATTAAAAATCAAAATTATTTTAAAATTATTTTTTAGAATGAAAATAATGCAAAAAAAAAAAAAAAAAAAACCCTTGAACAAAATATTAGTATTTTAAAAACAAGACCCAACCAACACTTATATGACTGTCACAGTTGTCTCATCCTAATTCTGGCCATAGTGCTAATAAAATTTTTGTTTTGTAGGTCACTCCTCATTTGCTTGTAAGTCTACCCAAAAGCTCTTACTCAGTTTTGCTGTGATCAGTGGTGCCCACTTGGAGAAAGCTATAAGTTCAGTAGGTGGCCAACTTACATAAAATGAGTGGCCATCTGGTGCTTCTTAGTCTAAAACGACAATATAGAAATGAACTGTCCATCAATTTCTCATTATCCATTCTAAAAAAAATGCTTCTCTTAGCTTATTAATTTCCATTAATCAATTCCTGGACCTATTTTGGGCTACAGCTTTAGTCTGTCGAACTTTTTTAGTATGGATAACACATAAATGAAATGGAATTAAGCAAGATATTTGATCTTTTGTATTTATTTATTTACTTATTTTGGGGGGATTTAAGTGTTCTATGTTTAATTTTTAAATTTTTTATTTTTTATTCAATTTATTGGGGTGACATTGGTTAATAAAATCCTATATGATCTGTTGTATTGAAACATGCAAATATTTGGAATCTGTGGTGAATTGTGGAACATGAAGGTATGTCTCCATGTATAGCAGGTTCAACCAGAAAACAGGGCTCCATGGGAACTGATTTTTGGCTTCAGCCATCTTCCTAGTCACATAAGTATCACCAGAACAAACTAACTCTTTCCTGTATTGTAGTTGCAATTTCTCAGTCTCTTCCCATTTTATACCTCGTGTCCCATTTGCCCCTATTAAGTGCCCAGCACTTCTGATCAGACATCTTTGTGTCAGGAGAAAGGGAAAAATGTGTATCTTGGACCCTTCCCATGCAGCCTCTCTGTGAATATCCTTTCATGAGAAGATTATGATCTTGGCCTCAGATAAATAGGTGGGAGGACAAAAAAGGAGGATAAATGGGACCAATTAGCACTGTTCCTAGTCTGGATTTCTGGAAGCAAAAAGTGGAGCCTTACTTAGTTAGCCAGCCAACTGTTCCATACCGTAATATCCTGGCTTGCAGAGAGCAGTTAGAAAAGATAGCGTGCACACACACACGGAGTAGCCAGGTGGAGAAATGTTAATATGGGATATACCTCTTCCTTCTCCCTGTTCCCATACCACCACTCATCACAGTTTTTCAGGCAGATAAAGAAGAAAAAAAAACAAAAGAATTTATCTTTTAAGCTGTGCCACCTAAGAATAAAAGCAAGGACTGGATTCCAGCCTGGAATGAGAATGTACTATTTGCCCTAATTAAAATGCAAGGAGGCTGTAGGCTTGGTGGAGTTAGGGACAAAGAGACTATCATTAGTGGTAAATCTCTTATTTTTGTGGCATTTAAATGCTAGAAGCTGGACTGGGGAGCCTAGAGAAGCCAGGGAGTCGTTAGTCCCCACCCTGGTGGCCTGGTGACTTGCTGTTCACTGAAGCATATACCAAGGTTGATTGGATAACTTGGAGCAACAGCTAGTGAGAAAAACAACTCCAGAAATGCTTCGATCCATCAAGGGAACAACTTTCTCTTGGACTTCAACTAGGGCAGGATTTGAAGTGAAAAGTGCCATCATATCTGGTCTGGGAAAAAGGAGATACAGATCTCCCTCAGAAAAAAAATATAATCAATTGAGTGACAAAGCCTTTTTATAACCACATTTATAGGCAAGGCAACTGGCACCATTTCCTTGGACCTGAGGATATTAAGATGAGAGGGCATATAAAATCATGTCCTTGACTCTTTCATAAAAATTGTTTCCTCCATTAAAACCCCTGAAATTTGGTGGAGGCCAAATGTGGAATTCATATCTCTTTGACTTAAGAAGACCACTTTGGCTCAGGCCATGTTAATAAATATTCTCTTTAGAAAGATTTTTATTCGAATCTTAACTGTCAAAAACTTCAGACTTGAATTAACCCCCAAAATACTGTTTACATCTCCAGTCTGAAGGTGTCATATGATCAGTGGGATTACATGGTAAAAAATATCAAGAAATTTAACTGAACACTTGTTCGATGAACCTTAAACTAAATGCATAGCCATTCTGCTAAACTATGATCAGAGCCCAAGTATTTTTAAAGAAAACTTCTGGCGAATCTGTTCAAATCAAAATTAAATCTTTATATTATTCTCTAAAAAATATTTTAAAAAATGAACATAAACCCAGGTGGTGTTTTATCACATTGAGTCCTTTAGCAGTGGTATTTCTGAGTTTTCCTAGTTGCAAAAAGTTTTTTGAACTTACTTTTTGCCTTCTCAGGCTTTAAAATTCCACTGTGCCCCAGGAAGAAT